AATAAGAACCCCTAGAGCTAGATCCTAGGATCCTAAGGAAAAGAGTAATGACCTCAAAATGAGGTCAATAGTTGGTTAATGTGAAATTGGTTGTCCAAGTGTTGGAGTAAAGAGGCTATGTGTTGGTCAGTTTTATGTAATAAGAATGTCTTCTACATATGCTAGTAGAAATGTTTGTATGTTAATTTTGCGGTAGAGGAGAAGAGGGTAGTCGGCTCTATTAAGTGAAAAATGTTGGCTATAAAGATATGTACAAAATGTGGAGTATCATTGGCTCGGTGCCTGTTTTAGCCCATAAATTGTTTTGTGTAGCTTGCAGACGAAATCTGGATGTTGTTGATCTTTGAATCCTGAGGGTTGATGCAAAAACACTATATCATCTAGTTTGCCATGAAGGAAACATTTGATACGTCAATTTGTTGAACCTCCCATTTGTGTGCAGCTGCTAGAGCCAAGAGCATGCAAATGGTAGGGAGCTTTGTCAATCGACTAAGGTCTCTGTGTAATCGATGCCTAGTTTTTTAGCACAACCTTGAGCGACTAAGCATACCTTGTATCTAGCAATTGTGCCATCAGCATGAGGTTAATTTTATGTCCATTTGCAGCCCAAAATGTTGTGATCGTGTGGTGGTGGTACTAGGGACCATTCCCCCTGTTGTTGAAGTGCGAGGAATTCCATAGACATGGCTTGACGTCATCGCGGAATCTTACTGGCTTGAGAGTAAGAGGGTGGTTCAATGAGATTGGTTTGATGAGTAAGATCAAGGATGTATTTGGGTTTGAGATGACCTATTTTGGCTCGATTTATCATGTGATGGGTTGGTGGTTGGGGTGGAGGTGGGATTGGTTCAGTTGGTTGTTATGGTGAGATGTGGTGTTGGGTTGAGGAGGGTTGATGGGTGTTGTTTTGTTGTGATGGAGGTTCTGGGTTTTTTGTGATTTGGGGAAAAGTGGAGGTGGGAACTAGCAGTGAAGGTGGTGGATATGGTGTGGGTTTTTCTGTTTTTATGTGGGTTTGGTTTGGTTGATGAAATGGAAACAGTGTTTCTATGAATGTTACATGCCTTGATATGATGGTTTTGTTGTTGGATAGATTCCAACATTTGTTGGCTTTGTATTGTGGGTTTTAGCCAATGAATACACATGTGGGTGCTTTGGGTTGTAGTTTGTATGTCATTTGAAGTGCTTGTAAAGGAAAGCATGCACAATAGAATGTTCTAAGGTGATCATATGTTGGTTTTGTTTTGTAAAGTAGTTCATGAGGTGTTTTTGGTGTTTTTGGAGGGCATGATATTGATGAGGTAGATGGTTGTTTGAATGGCCTCCATCCAGAAGGATGGAGAGAGAGGCCGTTTTGAGTATGTTTCTTGCGGTTTTAGTAATGTGCATGTGTTTTCGTTCCGCTAACTCTTTTTGTTGTGGTGTGTATGGGCATGAGAATTGATGTTTTATTCTCTGAAGTTGAAGGTATTGTTGTAATTGCAGAGATGTATATTCTTTACCATTATCTGTTTGAAGTATTTTTATTTTTGTATTAAATTGATTTATGATGTAGTTTTGAAGGTTGATAAAGTGTGTGGTGATTTTAAATTTGTTTTACATGGGAAATATCCAATAGAAGCGAGAGTAAATATCTATAAAGGAGACGTAATATCTATATCTATTAATTGAAGGGAGGGAAAGGGTCCCCAAACAGCAGAGTGGATTAGTTCTAAGCATTTATACTTAGTACTACTAATAAGAAAAACTAGTTTATGACTTTTGTTCTGATTACTTTCCGAGCATTGTGGTTGGAGGTTGGAGATGCGTAGTTGAGGATATTGCCTTGAGATGGTTGAGAGTGTATGAAGATGGGGATGATTGAGTCTTTCATGCCAGTTGATAGGGGAGGTGGATGTATGGAGAGCTTGTATGCACGGAGACCTTGCTTACAGGTCCTGTGAGGAGAGTCTTCAAGGTTTTTCGGTCCTGTTTGTAGTATTGATTAGCATCAAAGGAGATAATGCAGTTATTGTCTTGAGATAGTTTTTGAATGGATATGAGATTGTGTGAGAGATGTGGAATGCGTAGCAGAGACGAGAGATTGAGCTGACTTGTGGGGGTGGGAAGGATGCCCGATCCTGTATGAGTTCTGTTGGTGGCCTATCTATTTCCTACAGTAAATTGATCTGTGCCTTGATATGGATGTGGGAAGCGTAAATTTTCTATATTTGGTGTGAGATGAGCAGTCGCACCAGTGGCTAGGATCCAGTGTTGGTTTTTGTGAAGGCCGTGTTGTTTGGGTTTGTGGTGGGCTTGTGTTGGAGGTTAGTTCTATGCCAGCATTAGCAGGTTTAGTGTCCTTGTTTGAGGCATATTTGGTCGGCGATGGTTTTTTTTTTTTTTGTTTGGGTTGGTGTTGTTTTTGGAATGTTGGTGTGATTGTTGTGTGTTTTTGTAGTTTGTTTTGGGTATGTTGAGTTGGTTTTGGTTTTGTTGGTATATAAGGCTATAATAGGTTGTTGTTTGAGTTGTTCAATGGTCAGATTGGGTTCCTCGCTTTGAAGTAGTGAGTTGAAATCCTCGAGTTTGATTGGATTGAGCTGTGTGTGTATGGCGGTTTTAAAACCTTGATATTGCGGTGGTAATTCGTTGAGCGTGTAGAGAATGATGTCCTCTATATCGATCTTAGCTCTCACGGCTGCAATGTTATCATTAATATTTTTTGTGTTGGCCAAGTACTTAGACATGGTATTGCTTCCCATCACTTTTCAGCTGGATTACTCTGGATTTGTTTGTTGATTAAAATCTTTGTTCGAGGGTGGCCCATATCTCGGGTGTGTTGTTGAGATTGAGTACATATGGTAGAATTGGTGTGGATATAGCTGATAGCATTGCTGCCTTGAGATTTTGATCGACTAGGTGCCAGAGTTTGACTGGATTTTTTGATGAGCTTCCTGGCTCGTCTTTGATAAATTATGGTGGAGTGGGAGAATTCTCTGCAAGGAATTCTTCGAATCCATTTGCTTTAAAAAGTTTCAGTATCTGTGTTTTCCATACCTGATAGTTGCTGTATTGGAGAGGTGAATTTGCTAATGTCTTGATGTTTAACATTAGGAACTTGAGCGATGCAGATATGGAGATTTTTTTCATGCGATTGAGAGATACTGTTGAATTAGAGTTTGTTCCGATCATGAAGCAGCCTGGGGAATCTATTGATCGATGGTTGTGAAGTTTTACATTCTGATACCATGAAAGAAAAGATAATTCCGATATTAACCTTTGTGCTTTTCTCCAAATAAGTGAATTACATCCTTTCCTCTTCCATTTCTCACCTTTCTCACTTGCACTGTTTCTTTCCTAGCTCCCTTTCTTATAGCATTTCATAGGTGGGAAGCTTGCCTGTGCTACATTGCTTTTGGCGGGATCTTTGCATGTGTGTGGAAGGAAGATGATACTCCTGTGAGGCTATGCTGCCCGATTTTGCTTTGGTGGTTATCGGTGGGGACCAAGTTGTTGTTTTCTCTCTTTAGTTATGGTGTCATTTAGGATCATTTTTGTTTTTGTTTTTTATTTTTCAATTTTATTTTGTTTTGTTTATGTTTTTTTTTTATATTTTATTTTCTTTTGTTTATGTTCAATATTTTCCTATTTCTGTTGGTTTACATCATGGGTCGGCTTTAAGCCCATATCCTTTTGCTCTGGTTATGGATGATGGTCTTAAATGGACACTTACAGGAGGATGTACCATGGTGTATGCTTTTTGCTGATGATATCCTTCTCATGGATAAGACGAGAGAAAAAGCTCAGGAAAAACTTGAATTATGGAGGTCTACCTTGGAGCCTAAAGGCCCTTGTTTGAATAGAACTAAAACTGAATACATGAAATATAATTTTAGTAGTAATAGCTTCAGTGACAGAAATGTAACTATGAGTGATCAAATTATTAAAAGGTTTGAATGCTTTAGATATCTTGAGTCTATAGTTCAAAGTAATTGTGATATTGATGGGGATGTTATTAGTAGAATTCAAGTTGGTAATTCAAGAATTCAAGTTGGTTGGTTGAAGTGGAGGATTGCTTTGGGCCTATTGTATGATAGAAAAGTACCGCTTCAACTGAAAGGAAAATTTTATAAGATGATGTTGAAACCTGTAATGCTCTGTGACGCTAAATGTTGGCCTTTAAAAGAGAAGCATAAAACTAAGTTAAGTAACAACTAAGTTAAGTGTTGTCGAGATGAGAATGATTAAGTGGATGAGTGGCTTTACTCTTAGTGACAAAATGCGAAATGAATATATCCGTGATATGATTGGTGTAGCTCGAGTGACGGACAAAATTTGAGAGAGTAGTCTTAGATGGTTTGGTCACATTAAACGTCGACCATCTGATGATCCAATTAGAAGATTTGATGTTTTAGATTCGACTTATGTTAAGAAAGAAAGAGGTAGGCCTAAGATGACTTTGGCATATTGTATAAAAAACGATCTTAATTTATTAGAATTCAATGAAAATATGATACTAAATAGGACACAATGGACAAAAAGGATTCATGTAACCGACCCTACTTAGTGAGATAAAGGTTTTGTCGTTGATGTTGTATGTTTTAAAGCGAAACATATTTGTCATGGTATAACATGTTTAGTTGTTTTTAAAAACACTTAAAATACATAAACACGTTTTTAAAATAAAATTTAAAAGAAAAAAAAAATCAATAGTGATCCCAAACAAGCCATAAGTATATTTTTTGCATGTTTTTATTTTGGGGCATTTACAAAGCATACAATTCTTATGAATTTACGTATCTAACACCAAAGTTTTATATTTACATGCATAGTACTCAATTCTTTTGTATCACATCAAAAGTAGTACTAATTATCACTTTTTAATTGTCAAATCGGCCTTTTCATGTATAGGTAAAGTGCTGCACGTGTAAATATGAAAGTTTAGGTGTGTGATATGTTAATTCATAAGAATTGCATGCTACTTGTCTAAATTTCTCATTTTTTTTCCTTTGCTCGCCAATAATTTCAAACAAGCCAAATAAAATAAGCACTGGGCTCGCTAAAACCGGGCTCATAATTGGGCTAAAATTCAACTTTGTCGCCTTTATGAACATCCTCTTAACTACCAAATTTGATTTGTGGATTAATTTCATACAGGTTATGGCCCCTCGAACATTCTCTCTTGTTTGTTTCCGCCTCATCCCACCTTCAAATTATGAAGACAACGGCTATAAGCTGAACTGCAGCTTAATGGATGCTATCAACACAGGCGGAAAAATCTTTCTATCTCACACGGTATGAGAGCTTATTGAATTATTGATTTTGTTCTGGTAGAAACATTCTGTTGCTCATGCAGTAGTTCTTGTGAAAGTGCTTTAATTATATGGGGGCATTTACATACATACAACCCAATTCCTATGTATTTACATATCTATCACCTAAATTTCAGTTTTTACGTTTATATCACCCAAAAATTTCATATTACATAAAAAATATCATTTTTTTAAATATTAAAAAAGTGAAATACATCTTTTTGTGCATATATAAAAATTGATGTTCAGGTGTTAGATGTGTAGATACATAGGAAATGTGTGGTATGTATGTATATCTTCCTTTATAATTTTTATTGGCTGATTAGGTTCTGTCGGGGAAGTTTGTGTTGCGGTTTGCTGTGGGAGCTCCATTGACAGAAGAGAAACATGTTAGGGAAGCTTGGAAGGTTTTACAGAAGCAGGCTGATGCTCTCTTGGGTGATATTTAAAGGTGAGTTTAATTTGAACCACTTGGGTCAGTAGAAGCCTTGTTTATGATTATTTTAGTTGGGTAAATGATTTATCTATTTTTGGGTTCATTTATTCAAAAATTACACACGTACCACCCAATTTCTATGTATTTACATGTCTAACACTTCAATTTTTTTTTTTAACATTTATACCTGACACTCACCAAGTGTTGTGAAGCATGGGCTGCTCACGCAAGTATACGTGACATATCAATATTATCGGGTTCGAGTCTAGTTGTCGATTCCACAGAGAAGTAGGAGAACTCAATGAAGGAAATGTTTTAGCTTACTACTATCCGTCCAAGCCTGAAGAGTTTGATTTGCAAGTTCAATTTTAAACTTATATGAAAGTTATGAAAAACATGGCTATCCTGATAAGCAAAAAAGTTCTTTTATCAAATTAGGTGTTGAGAATTTTTCCTTTTTAATCGATCAAGTGATGAATAAAACTAATGATTAGATTCAAAAATAGGTCAATTAGGAGAAAAATTCTTTCTAACCCCTTTCTAGTGGTTGAAAGAAGTTTAACAATATTAAGTTTAGTTCCCTAAAACTCTTGATCTGCTCAAAGGAAAAGGACTCTTAGAAGATTACATAAATTCATTGGCAATATCCCCATTCCAAGGTGTTCATGTTGTTAACTCTATTTATTCCATACAGAATCCTTCCGAATATCAATATTCACAAAATGTTTTAACAATCAACTGACCAAGTAGAAAGTAAATTAAGTTTTTAAATTAACACAACACTTTTAAATTTAAATCAAAGCCCAAACAATCTCAAATCATTTGTCCTATCCATTCACCATCTCAATTAAAGAGAGAAACAAGAAGACTACTCACAATCGATGATAAATCTCATCAAAATAAACTTAGTTTTATGCATAAACATCAAAATCAAAGTCTTACAAAGAAGTTCTTAAGAAAATACAATGTAAACACACTTATCTCCTTCACAAACAAGTAGTTTGAGGATGTCACTAACGACAAACAATTTACTCTCTATTTTCCTCTTTTCTAATATCTTTGCAAAAGCTTTGGCTTTCTCCTCCAATTCCTCTCTCAAAATGATAGAAAGAAAAATGATGAAAAGCCCCCAAATTTTTGTATTTGTCCAATTTATATCTTCTCCAAAGCGAACCAAAGTTTGAACTGCACAAACTGTCAAAATTTGGGTACCGGCGTCGGGGCACCCATATGTGGAGTCTGGGCGCTACTATTTATTTTTGCACGTGGTGTGTAAGCTCTACTCTTTGGCCCCAGAACACCATTTTGCTCCTTTTTCTTCATTTTGATTCCAGTTCTATCCTCGAAGTGCAGTGTTATCATGTAAAATTCAAAAATACAAGTAACAACAATTACAAAATTATTAACATATCAAAATCCCCCAAACTTGTAATGTACTTGTCCCCAAGTCCAAGTAACAATCAAAACTTAAATATTTGATATTGTTAAACATAATAGGGTGGATTTTATAAGTGACTACCTACAATCAAACTTCCAAAGATACAAAGTTAGTGATAATATGCCACTATTGAATTATTTTGTCACACGTGCTTCAAGAAACCTTGAACTTCTTCAAATGATATTTAATCTCATATTCCTTTCAAAGGATCTAGGAGATGCTAAGTTAATACAATTTGGATGTTAAATTCTAAAAATTTAGTCTTCCATAAGATAATCTGCTAATAATTCATAAACATATGAACTGAACTAAAAAAAAGATTGTTACAGAGTTTTCAATTTAAAAGAAATAGTAGCAAAATTAATAATTGTTGAGGCTTCTCCTCGATGTTTTTCCTTCGTAACGTTTTTAATTCTTTTTCTTTCTCTTTCTTTCATTTGGATGATTATTTACAATTCCATTTCTTTCTTGATAATCCTTTTTGCATTCACATCCTTAAGGATTACCATATATGAATTATTCTTTTAATGATTTTGAATTCTACTACAATCTCCTTAAATTAAAATCGTCAAACAATCCCATTTTGTTTGAATTTACAAATTAAGAATTATTATTATAAAATTTAAATTATATGGAGGCTAAATTTTTAAAAAGATATACATCTAGCTGAATGTAACTGACCAAATAACCGAAGCTTCTTAAAATTAAATATGTTGATTAAATAATATTTATTATATTTTAAAGATCAGTATACAAGTAGTTCAGTTTAATTCAGATAGAGTCCAACTATCATTTATCTATGTTTCTCCTTCTTTTTAGATTGTTATAATCTCAAATTCATACCCACTTCACTTGTGTCAACAAAATCAAAAGCTAATACTTTGTTTACATAGAGACAAATAATTGAAGAAAACATAATTATTTCCCCCAAAGTTTATCATATGTAATCACAAACCTACAATATGATGAACAAAGTACATAAAAATAAAAAACAATTGTTTCTAACACCTGTACGAACTAACAATTCAATAACACGTATATGGACAGGTATTAACAACAATAGCAAATAAAAAGACCACAACAAATTAACTTAAGCTATCACTAAGAAATCCAAATTAATTACATCAGATAATGTCCAAATATAAAATTAAACAAATACACAGAAATACGAAGTCCAAATCACAGTGCCACAAGTTACATTATAAAAATATAAAATAACAATAAAAATTAGAAACACAAGCAACAAAAATAGTCAGGTCAAACAATAACAACATCCAAGCAGTATTCAAATCACTCGTCCCCTACTTCATTATCTTCTTATTCCTCTTCTTTTTTCTTCTTGGTCTTCCTCCATTGATTGACAGGTGTTATCATACCCAACATAAGGAGGATAAGTAGGGAATACTACCAGATCAGACCCTTCTAACCATTGATTTCTACGATATATTTTAACTTGAGCCACATTGTAATTTTCATAATAATTAGTGTGAATTTGATTATGCAAATCAATATGTTGTAAATGATCTGCCATATCATATACTTCAGATTGAATAATTGAATTATCCTCTTCCAATTTATTCAACTGCTCAACAATAGATGCAAATGAAATAGAAGTGTGTGATCTTGAGGAAGGAGGCCTAGAAGAACTTTCACGCTGCTCAAACAATGCAGTAGAGGTGCGACTATAAACATTTCCCAATCTCTTTAATGAGGGGCAATAACTCCTCCCAACTCTCGTATATCACCCCAGCCTTAACACACAAAGCGAAAATAGTGGAGGGATGTCCCAATCTAATAGTAGACCCTGACCTCATCATACTTTTAATAGAAGTGTAAAGTATTTCCCCAACATCAATTGTATGTTCCTTCTGAATACAAAAGTTGAGGACGGCTCTATCTCGGGTGACTTCACTCAAGTTAGTAGAAGGAAGGAGCTTAGTTAAAACAAAATAATGTCAAGCCTTCAACTCAGCATTCATAGAAGCAACAACAAAATTTATTTTCCTATCCTCTCTAACTTTCCACTTCCCCCTCCCATCGGCTAAATAGCTAACAATCTCTTCTAGCCCTAAATCGTTGGGTTCGAAGTTAGAATAGAAAGCATTGGGATGATCTTCCAAACTAAGAGTTGATTAATACTACGAGACAATGTCTTCACATACTTCCCTCTCACAGACACTTTATCAAAAGAATTCTCTTTCAAAGTCGCATAAAATTCCTTAATAACAAGAATCACTGTCACACCAGTCTTATAGCATAGATTTTCCTAATTCCTATGGTCTATCACTACCGCTACCCCTTCCCCCGGGTTGAAGAAAACCTCCCTTCGGATTAAACTTCCTTGACACAAAAAACTCATTGTAGCGCTCTTCTACTTGAGCACTAACAAACATTTTTGAATCAGAAGAGAAACTAATGCTAAAAAGACTTCCTTTTGTTTTTGGTGTCATAGGAAATAACTAGGAAGAAGGAAAAAGTAGTGCAGCAATGTGTGAAACAATATCACCGTCAAATTACCAAAAATCCTTGGGAACGAAAACAGAAAAATGAGAACCTAAGAACATAAAACACAAGATCTACTCCATAAAATCAAAATCAAAGCTTAGGTTAGCATATCTTACCAAGAGATTTCAAGATCTAAAAATTTCTTCACAATATTTTCACCAAAATTTCACCTAGAAGAAACCCTAGGTCTTTTGGCTGGAGAAGAAGAAAGGAGAAGAAGGAAATCACGATAAAAGTTACCCGAACAGTAAATTTTAGTCCAAATAAACAGATCTGGGTGCCCGGGTGCAGCGCTTAGGCGCCGCTCCAATCAAACCGCAGCCCTCTAGCGCCGTGCACCCACAAGTAGCGTCGGGGCGCTACAGGTAAAAAAATTGATTTTTTTTAAGTTTTTATTTAAAGCACATAACAATATAAAATTCAAACCAAAGAAAAATATAAAGATAATGAAATATAAATCCAAAATACAAAGACAACACATCAAATCAGCATACAAATGCACATGGGTTGCCTTTCAAGAAGCGTTTAGTTTATTGTTCTTAGCCTGATAATGTCATATCCTTCAATTTTGTTGACCCAAAGCCAATATCTCCCTAAGTTCTAGTCTATCTCCCGTAAATGCAATTTAAGTCTTTGTTTGTCGGCTTTAAAAAACCTTCCACTCTTCTGATTAGTAATATCGTCAGCACCAATAGGGTAAACCTTTTCTGCATTAAATGCTTCTGACCACCTGGATTTAAGTTTTTTGGGGAATAATTTCAATCGAGTATTATATAAGAAAATCTTCTGTCTAGGCTCGAAATTTTTCTTAAGAATCTTTTTATCATATCTTTTCTTCATCTTTTCCTTAAAAATCCTGGCATTTTCAAAAACTTCTTCTCTAATTTCCTCAAGTTTGTTTAACTGTAATAGACATTTTTTAGCAGCACTTTTCATAATATAATTAAACTTCTTAACTACCAAAAATGCCTTATGTCCCAGTTCAACAGACAAACGATAAAAATTACCAAATTTAAGTCTGTAAAACATCATCAAGTCTTGAAGCTCATTCTTTCATATTAGAATTAATAAA